GAAGCGCGGTCGGCGAAGAAGGGACGGCGGCTGCAGCCGCGGCCGCCGCCGCCGCCGTCTCAGCGGCCTCGGAGGGGGAAGCGCCGCTGTGCCCTCGCTGGCTGGAGCTGCTGAGGACGTACCTGGAGCTCATGCTGTGCGTGCTGAGCAGCGTTCGCAACAACAGGTAGGGGGGACGCGGAGGCAGGACAAAAGGAGGAGAAGGAGGCTGCGGAGGCTTCCTTCCTTCCTTCCTTCCTTCCTTCGGCTGCCCTGCACTTTGCCGTGTGCCTTGTAAGGCTTGGGGGGGGCGGACTTGGTGGGGCTGGAAGGGGGGAGTTCATCTTGGCGGAGTTGCGCCTCTGTAAGGGAAGCCCCACCTGTTGGGTCCCCGCCTGTGATGAATGCGGGCGGGGGGGTGGAGGTGCGGAGAAGTTGCCGGTGGCCGCGCTGGGGAAACGAAACCGACAGGAACACACGTACGCACGTCGCCGACTGACTTGCAGCCACAGAGATCCCCCGCCGAGAGGGACGCGGCTGCTCCTCGAGCAGGTCAAGTAGGGGAAGCATCTTCTAACCCCATCTCGGGGAAGGAGGGGGCTTTTGGACCCGGTCAATTATATTTGCCATTTGCTTCCATTGCTTTCAATTCATTTGATACATTTGCTGGATGTGGCAACAAAAGCCTGTGAGTTGCTTTGGACTCCTAGACTGGAGGCAAATGAACACTTGATAGCGTTCCTGACCTGTCCATTGCAAAGCATTTCTGTAATAATTCTGACATCTACATCAAGGGGAGAAGCTAGCAACTGATGAAGTGGGCTATAGCTTGTGTAATCCCAGGTGTTATGGACAGCGCTTCACATTACTAAGCATATTGGCTGGGGCTGATAAGAGTTGTGGTGCAAATGTTGGGGTACGAGGTAGGCAAGTCTGGCTTATTCTGTAACATACTTTTAGACTCTAAGGCGTTAATAAGATAGAATAGAATCTTGTCCTTATCCTGTGAGAAGCTGCAGGCAAAATTTTAAAAAAGCATTATTAAGGCTTTGTCATGCCTGTTCTTAGATATTGTTGTCGTCTAGTCGTACCCGACTCTTTGTGACCCCATGGACCAGAGCACGCCAGGCTCTCCTATCTTCCACTGCCTCCCAGAGTTGTGTCAAATTCATTCTGGTAGCTTCGATGACATTGTCCAACCATCTCATTCTGTATCGTCCCCTTCTCCTCTTGCCTTCACACTTTCCTAACATCAAGGTCTTTTCCAAGGAGTCTTCTCTTCTCATGAGATGGCCAAAGTATTGGAGCCTCAGCTTCAGGATCCTTCCAGTGAGCACTCAGGCTTGATTTCCTTTAGAATGGACACATTTGTTCTCCTTGCAGTCCAGGGGACTCTCAAGAGCCTCCTCCAGCACCACAATTCAAAAGCATCAATTCTTCGGTGGTCAGCTTTCTTTATGGTCCAGCTCTCGCTTCCATACATCACTACAGGAAAAACCATAGCTTTGACGATGTGGACTTTTGTTGGCAAGGTGATGTCTCTGCTTTTTAGGATGATGTTCTGATATCTTAGATATCAGAAGTTTTAAAATGAAATCAGATGCTATAGACATCTTGTAAATTTTTCTGTTATGGCACATGGTATATTTGGCTACTCTTGAGAGTCCCCTGGACTGCAAGGAGAACAAACCTATTCATTCTGAAGGAAATCAACCCTGAGTACTCACTGGAAGGACAGATCTTGAAGCTGAGGCTCCAATACTTTGGCCATCTGATGAGAAGACTCCCTGGAAAAGTACCTGCAGTTGGGAGAGTGTGAAGGCAAGAGGAGAAGGGGACAACAGAGGACGAACTGGCTGGACAGTGTCATGGAAACTACCAACATGTATTTGACCCAACTCCAGGAGACAGTGGAAGACAGGAGGGCCTGGCAAGCTCTGGACCATGGGGTCACGTGAGTCGGACATTACTTAACAACTAAACAACGAACAACAAAATATTTTGCTAACCTAAATTAAGGAACCTCACAAATTTTTCAGAGTGACCTCAGTACAAAATCTATGCTCATATCCCTTTGAGTCAAAATAGTATAAGCTAGTATGTGACAAAGTGCTCATAGTTCAGTGTGTGCTCTGCATTTGTGAGCCTTTAACACTACAGTCTTACTCAAGGTTTCCAAGATTTCCACTCTCTCAAGGCCATGTAATGAAAGAGGAGCCAGATTTGATTGAAAATGTAGGGCTATGTATGTGTATCTTTGTTTCTTTCTGTTACACTTGTTTCTCTGCTTTGCCCAGATTCAAAGATTCTTTTTAAGAAGAGGTTCTGGACTCGTTCCCATATTGCCGCCTTCTCAAGCCAGTCCTGTATGATAGCACATTCTTCATTTTTTCTGACTAAAGTAATTTCCAGTTTTAGGTGTAAGAAAATTCTGTTGTTGAACTTTATTTAAATCATCGTTCAGCTTATGAAACAATCACAATTAGTACATTAGAGTGGTCGACCAGGCCAGATGGGTGGGATATAAATCAAATCAAATAAATAAATAAATAAAATAAAATCATTAAGGCATGTTTTAACCAGGTGAGATGAGAGCTGAACCTGCAATTTCCTGAGTTACCTCTCAGTGTCTTGGCTACTGTGATGTGCAAGCTTTTGTCACATGAGGTAACATGGTTACATCTATAGTGAAGTAAGTTTGTGAGCTGTGAGTCAGGAAATCACAACTTGTCACATAATATTTTTTCACCAGGTGAGTTGCTATAAGAGTCATATTGTTACTCATAATTCTATGCGTCATACACTCAACTGTGGAAAAGGCAGCTGCAGGGAAGGAAAGTTGTCTTCCCAAATTGGGAGTTGAGCTGATTGGAGGAAAAAGTTGACAACCAGAAGAAGAGAGAAAGAGCATCAAGAACAAATAGCAACAAGCCGTTATACAGGAGAAAACATTGGTCAGTCTGGAGCCAGGCTGTTGCAGGCAAGCTGCTTGCCCAAGCTTTATAAAAATTGGATCTCAATAATGTTTTTAATGTAGACTAAATTGGTGGGCACAGAGAGTTGTGTCATTTGCCCTTTAATGCCAGTAATGTTATAACTTTTGTAGAGGAGAGTAGATTTTCTTCTTCATTTCTGTAGTACCTGAAGGACATAAACTTTACATATTATTAAAGATTATTTACATCTTGTATCTGGTCCAGGGTACTATGTATGGATTGCAAGTTCCAGTTTCTGAAGAAGCCTAAAGGTTGCAATCTTATGCATCCTTACTTGGAAGTAAATCTTCCAGAGTACAATAGTACTTACTTTTGTGTAGACATATATAGGATTGTGATGTAAGAAATGTGTTGTGCCCAATAATTTTTCTTTATTTCTGTCACTGTATCCAGCTCTTCCAAAGACAAACTTGCATATGGCACCTGGTCAGTCTCTCTCCCCGGTCGTTTATGGGGCCACCCTTGCTTATCTTCAGCTGTGTAATATGTGTTCAGACAGCCTGTGGGCAACATGAGTAATAAGCACTTTTGTCCCACTCATCCTCACTGTACAGTGCAGCAGGAACCACTTACGTTGGATGTGCATCTTCATTAAATCTGTGCTTCTTATTGTTGTGCACTGCGCACATAATTTCCATTATGTTGTGGCATTAATTAGTGGAAAAGGATATCTAGAAAAATATCTGAACAGGCAGCACCTTTGCATGCACAATTCTCCAAAGGCTGCTCAGCAAAAACTGATTGCATTTGTTCATCGCCTTCATAAATTGGGGTGACAATAGACTTCTAAACATTCTTGCTGCAACATAAATTCTTTTTACAGTGTAGGGAGCTTCATATAAAAAGCTAAATCACAATTTCATACTAGAGCAGTGGTTCTCAACCTCGGGTCCCCAGGTGTTCTTGTACAACAGTTCCAGAAATCTTGGCCAGCACAACTAGTGGGGAAGGCTTCTGGGAATTTTAGTCCCAAAAACATCTGGGGACCCAAGGTTGAGAACCACTGCACTAGAGGAAAGCCCAGGAGGTCCGTATGTTTTGTTTTCCATGCACTCATTTTAGGCGTATCTGGATGAGGCAAAAGTTCTACCCCAGTTGGCTGCAGTTTGTCTTGAGGGAGAGTGGGAATTACCAGTTTTTGTATTTGTACTACACCACAGAAGCCGCATCTCTGAAAATTGCTTATTTTTAGAGAAAAATACATATAAATCCACTTGTCTGCTGAAAAATCTGAAACCCAATTTTATTAAATTATCTTTTGCAAAACTGGAAGAGGCCTTACTTATTTCCTATAAGTAAATAACCAGAGGTAACTTGAACCATTATAGACTATGGGCCGTGCATAGTCATATGTCTCGATCATGCACATTTCACAACACCAACAACAATCTTTATTTTGCAGTCACAGACCCGATCATGCACATTTAAGCCAAATTGGAGCCTTAGCATTTCCATGTAAATGTTTAAGACGTGGAAATAAAAGAAAAATAGGACCATACTCTTTAAAATTTTCAATACTTTTATTTTCTCTTTTTCTCAATTATAGTAGAAAACTAGTAGATTGAACCTTTTTGATTTGGCAAAATTGCAATATTTGCAGGTGAAAATGTGCTGATTTAATTTGTCTATGAATGGCAACTCTGGCCTTACTTTTCTAGCACTCTTAGTTTCAAGTATGCCAAGCTCTTATAGAGATACTGAACCTGTTCTTCCTGTTACTTCACTGTCTTTTTCTCCACCAGTATCTTGCTAAGTTTGTCACGTGTAGTTTCTGGGCAAGTATGTCTGATCTTGATGTGCGCTAGAAAAAATATTAAGTGATGTTAATCAGAGCTGCTGTCTGATAAAACTGAGAAAGTGAGACATGAAGAACTGCATTGGCATCAGTAGGTAACTACTGTGTTTCCCTGAAAGTAAGACAGGGTCTTATATTCATTTTGGTCCAAAAATGCATTAGGGCTTATTTTCAGGGGATTTTTTTAAATGTACAACAATCTACATTTATTCAAATACAGTCATGTCATCTTCTTCTGGTTGCTGCACAATGATGCACAATGGTGGAGAGTGAGGTTTCACTTAACTGGGGGTTATTTTGGGGGTAGGGCTTATATTATGAGCATCCTGAAAAATATATTCTCGAAGGCTTTCACGGCTGGGATCTGATGGTTGTTGTGGGTTTTTCAGGCTCTTTGGCCATGAAGGGTGTTCTTCCTAATGTTTCACCAGTCTCTGTGGCTGGCATCTTCAGAGGACAGGAGTCAGAACTCTGTGTTCTGGTGCAGTTTGTTTGGATAGTTGAATGTTTATAGTTGTGGGATCAACTTTTGTCCTTTTCAGGAGATGGGTGATTGTGGTGATCAGCATGTTTTTTGTTGTGGGTGTATTGCTGTGGTAAAAGGGAGAGATGATCTGTCACTGATTGATGGGTGTCATTAGCTGGTCTTTTGTGTGTAGTGATCACCGGTCCTTGTAGCTGGGTAGAGTTCACTGATGTTTTGCAGGCTATATTTTCAGTGCTGGGAGCCAGGCTTTGTTAAGTTTTAAACTTTCTTTTTTGTTGAAACTCTGCTGGTGTTTGTGGATTTCAACAACTTCCCTGTGCAGTCTAAAATAATGATTGCTGGTGTCCAGTACTTCAGTATTTTTAAATAGAATTTCATATTCAGCTTGTTTTAGGGCATGTTCAGGTACTGCTGATTTTTCTGGATCCTGAAAAATCATATTAAGGTTGATTTTCAGGTTAGGGCTTATTTTCGGGGAAACATGGTAACTGTAAAGCAAGGCATTTATTTCTGTCACTGAACTTTGTAACAAAAAGGGCACATTAGATGCAGTAACTGAAAAGACCCTAGCAACAGTTACTGGATGTAGAAGATTTTTAGTGTGTTTCAGAACACATTAATACTTTGCATTATTAATGATTCTGCATAGCTGTAGTTCTATAGTGATCATGTTTGAGTGATTTTGAGAAAACTTCCCAGTTTGCATCCAGAGAACATTGTAGGCTGTAGCCCCATTCACTTATCATAATGCCATGACTCTGTGTTAACATGCATCCCTAAAAGTACAGTAGATAGAACTGTTTCAAGGCATTATGTTATCTGTGTTTAGCTGAAAGTTTAAGTTATGCATTTCATAACTCCTAACAGTTATCTGCCACCTACCACAATACAAATTATGGATGAGGAATGAGTTAATTTCCCCTCCAAGCGTTTTGCAGTTCCAATTATTAGCTCCACCAGCCTCCATCTTAGCTGGTGACATTTGCATTTTTAAAAAGAGCATAAACAGAAAAATCCATTTGGTCTGATGTCTTATTTTTCTCTGTTTGTAGACATCAGCTCTCTCCAACACATTTACTTAGTTGAGGTAGAGCCGGTTAGAATTCTAGCATTCTAAGTGGTTGACCTCTTGATCTGAGCCAGCTCTTAGGACTGTATAAAAATACACATATTGGCTAGTAATAAGTGAAGAGGGGATGAGGAGAAAGCAGTCTTTCCTTTCTCTTCAGCCAAACTGATGATAGCAAGAGTTACTTACTCTTCACTTCTAAAATATGGAGAGATTTAATGATATGTTTGTGGATAAGAGGGATGTGGTGGCGCTGCGGGTTAAATAACAGAAGCCTCTGTGCTGTAAGGTCAGAAGACCAGCAGTCGTAAGATCGAATCCACACAACGGAGTGAGCTCCCTTCACTTGTCCCAGCTCCCGCCAACCTAGTACAGTAGTTTGAAAGCATGTAAAAATGTGAGTAGATAAATAGGTACCACCTCAGTGGGAAGATAACGGCGTTCCGTGTCTAGTCGCGCTGGCCACATGACCGTGGAAACTGTCTTCAGACAAATGCTGGCTCTATGGCTTGGAAATGGGGATGAGCACTGCGCCCTAGAGTCAGACACGACTAGACTAAATGTCAAGGGGAACCTTTACCTTACTTTATGGATAAGGGAGGGGATGATAAATTCTAACTCTACCAGTAACCATACTACAGTATATGAGGCAGTTTTCTATCTTCCCATTGACAGGCACCAATCCTTGAGATGCTTATTTTTATTGTAATGTACAACACAATTTGTAATACTGCAGCATGCATTTCCCTGCCTTTTCTTCACATCAGAGCTAGAGCTAACTGGGCAAGCAAAGCCCAGCACAATGGCTTCACATCATATACTGTCTGTGTTCAATGTTAGAAGTGAGAATGACAAAGCAGTGGCGTCTCTGGGGTTTTTTTTAGTCTCATCTTGGCTTCAAGCAGTACAGCATCTATAGATTACACAACCACACACAACTTTCAAATGACAGTGCTGTTCTTTTAGCATCCACAGTACCTGCAGGAAGAAATGCCAGGCTGCAGTACTAAAAATAGTTAGTGCTTGATGTTCTTGGGTGCTAGCTTCTACTTCTAATTAAATATTCTTATTTTTGTGGCCTGGTTTTTCTAAGTGGAACATAAAGATCAGATATGAAAGATGACCTCTTAAAAATTCTTTGGAAAATAATTTATTGAGAACAAGCACTACAGTCAAAACATTGTCATACAGTAATATGAGATGCACCATGTATGTGGTCTTCAGATCAATGTTCATCAAATATGGCAGTTCTTGAGTAGAGACCCGTTAAATGAGTGATACCAGTGTTTGCTCGGCTGTGTTTAGCTTTGTTTGTACTGACCTAAAAGTGGGTGAAGTACTTACCTTTTTCTGATGTGACTCACCTACCATACAACTTTACTGGGTGACAGTGAATCGTGGTATTGGGTGGGTGGGTGGAATCCATTTCTTCCACTCCAAGTATAATTTTATACGCCTCCACCTTTTTTACTCCCTTTTTTCCCAAGCGAAAAGGATGAAACATAGTAACATTTCATAGTGGGGGAGTTTTTCCAGATCCTCTTTGTGTGTGTGTGTGTGTGTGTTCGGTGCTGTCAACTTGAAACCGACTTATAGGCGACTCTAATAGGGTTTTCAAGTTGGGATATTTAAGGAGTGCTTGTACCAGGTCTACCACAACCCCAGTGAGTTTCCATGGCAAAGTGGGGATTCAAACCCCATTCTCCAGAGTCCTGATCCGTCACTCTATCCGCTACAGCACATTGGGAATCCTAGAATATTTTATTTCCCTTTCCCCCACTTTCCTCAGTTTTTATAGCTTTTTGTAGCTTTTCATACAGTGGTGCCTCGCTTGATTACCTTGTGAAACGACAAAACCGCTTTATGATGAAGTTTTTGCTGTGGGGATGTTCCTATGGGGAAAAATCACTTAATGATGATTGGTTCCCTGCTTCAGGAACCGATTTTTCGCTACACAATGATTTTAAAACAGCTGATCGGCGGCTCTAAAATGGCCGCCCGCTATGCAAAATGGCTTCCCACTGTGCTTTAGGACGGATTCCTCGCTTTACAGGCACCGGAAAATGGCCGCCCTATGGAGGATCTTTGCAAAATGAGCAGGTATTTCGCCCACTGGAACGCATTGAACCGGTTTTCAATGCATTTCAGTGGGTTTTTAATTTTGCTTGACAAGGATTTCGCTTAACAGCGATTTGAACGGAATGAATTATCCTTGTCAAGCGAGGCACCACTGTATTTTGCATTGGGAGAAGGAGAAGCCTTGTATCTGCTGCAAACATGGGATTCATAGAATCATAGAAAAGTGAAGTTGAAAGGGGCCTACCAGTCCATCAAGTCCAAGCCCCTGATCAATGCAGGAATACAATCAAAGCACATCAGCCAGGTGATTATCTAAATAATGAAGTTGTAAGGAGCCTATAAGGCCATTGAGTCCAACCCTCTACTCAATGCAGGAATAGGAATCAAAGAATATCTGCCAGGTGGTTGTCCAAATTTCTCTTGAATGCCTCCAGTCTTGGAACACTCACCAATTCCCAAGGTAACTGGTTCCACTGTCGTACTACTCTAACAGTTAGGTTTTCCTGATATTCAACTGAAATCTGGCTTCCTTTAACTTGAGCTCATTGTTGCATGTCCTGCATCCTGGGATGATCGAGAACGTATCTTGACCCTTCTCTATATGACAGCCTTTATTTGAAAAATGCTATCATATCACTCTGGGGGTTTTATTTATTTATTTAAAATATTTTTACCCTGCCTTTCTCCTTGAAAAGGACCCAAGGTAGCTTACAATATTGAAAGACAATATTTAGAGCTGAAAACGATGAGTATACAATGGTGTTTTCCATCATTAAAAGAAAATATTTAAAGCTAAGAACAATAAGTATACAAATATTAAAAAGGAAAAAACCCCAAACACCACTCCGAGAAATGGAAAACATAAAAATAGAAACCACAAGTAGTACTAAAAAGCCAGTCAAAGCAGTAATGCATAACAATCCATCTAAAAATCTCACACAGGTAGGGAAGTCTTGCCTGGAGAGAAAGGTCTTTGGCTGCTTGTGGAAAGACAGCAAAGATGGGGCAAGTCTGGCTTTGTTTCGGGGTGTGTTTTGCCAGCACCCTCAACAAACCTCTCTCAGGTTTTTCATCTTTATGCATTATTAATAGTATTCACAAGAAATATTTCTGACCTATTGGGATAGATGGATCAGAAAGTGATTCCCTAAATTATGTCTGATTTTAAATACTGAGCCCTGTTCTGTATTAATTTTCTCAAAATAGCTAGCTCAAATGTGATTTGGTTGGAAGGGACCAAATTCTTTCTTCCTCAATAAATCTAGTTTTCTGTATTGAATTGGTTGTATTGTTTCTATAGTAGAACACAAAATTTGAGGTATTTTCAAATATATTGCATCTGGCTTACACATGTCTTTTTCTTATGTATAGGAATCTCCAGAAATTAAGTCTGTTTGGTGATATAAGCATTCTACAACAACATGGAAGTATATCGAATACATACCTCAGCAAAGTGGATCCAGATGGCAAAAAGATTAAGCAGTAAGTTTTCCCATTACTCCAGCACTGTGACAGGAATAAAGCAAATGAGTATATTGTTTCACACAAACTGGCTTGTAAATATTCTGGGTTTGTGTCAATATAGTTATTTGGGTAAGTCACCTTATCTGAATATTTAGTGGTCTGAATTGAGCAGAGGTGTTCGTTGTGAGGGTTCGGTGATTGAGACTGGTTTAACTCTCCAACATTGTTTTCATTTATTAACATTTCAACATTAACATCAACTTGCTTCTGAACTGGGTTTAACGTCTCTTGCGGTGTGAACCTCGACTGCAAGGGTGTCCAAACATTAGAAATAAAAGGGTTCGTTTCTTCAAAGTACCACGGTCCAGATAATATCTTCTCTGAGACCAACGGTTCTCCTTCTTCTCCTTCTGTACCTAGAAGCGGTAAGGTCTCTTCATCTCCATTCCACCCCCAGAATGGGGACCCTCTCCTGGCCTGGCCAGCCACGGTCCGGGTAGACCCCCATCTTCTGGAGCTCTGCGAGATGCCATGCTTTCTTGTTCTCCAGTTCTCTCGCCACTGCCTCTCGCTCCTCTCTCAGACGTCAGCACCACTCCTTTGCCTCGGTTTCTCCCCAATAAGAAGGGCGAGGTTGTAATCCTTGTCGTCGGCGTCTTTCCTCCTCCTCATGGGGTACCTTAACCTGTTCCCATTTCCCTGTCCAGGGATCCTGGACCCAAATCATCTCCCAACTGCCCGGGATTTCCTCCCGCCTTTCCTTTATATCTCCAGCCCCGCCTCTATCGACTCTCTCCCTTTTCCCGCCAAAACTCCCCCAGACGCCGCTGACACACTTAACCGTTTCATTTCGTGTACCAGATCCCGGGTGTCTACCCCTTGATGTTTCTGACCCTTTTCTTTGCTTAACTCTTCCAATTCTGTGTGTCCACCTCCTTGCTTTCCTTTCTAGGCGGAGAAGGTGGGGGAGAAGTCTGGGTCTCCTTAGATTGAACTCGGAGCGACGGCACTCCTACATAAGCTTCCTGCCCCTGGCTGGGAGTCTTACATTCGTGCTTTCAAAATCTCTGTATCGCTTATTAATTAATTAATTAATTAATTAATTAATTAATTCATTCATTCATTCATTCATTCATTCATTCATTCATTCATTCATTCATTCAATTTGTATCCTGCATCACAGCACTACTCTGCCAAACGTATATTCTTTGTTACAATTTATCCTAAGACAAGCTTCTATATAAGCCATTTGCAATTAAAAGTTCTTATTCTGTAAAATTATTGTCATGGAAGAAATTATAGAATCATAACAAGAAGATTTCAAAGAACAGTTCTATCCCCTGCTACAGCAATAATATAATCCAGAGGTAAACTTGAGGCCATCCAGGCTGCAGAAGAAAATTCAGAGAGAAATTACTCCTCTGCAAGTTGAGCGCAGGGTTCATAAGTGGTATACATGCACTTCTGTTTGACAGGTTTGACAGCTGGCTGAATGTAATTTCTAACAACTTTATTATTCCTTCAGTATAGTAAACATGGATTTATTGGCCTAACCTGTGTACTCTTTAAATATAAGTCAGGAATGATTCAAATAGCATGTGCATAATGGCATGTGCATAATTCAGCATGCGTTGTGATTGGCAAATGAATCAGTGAAGTACTGTGGTGGAATCAAAGCTCGCTCTATGGTATTTGTTCTGTGATAACTACTTTTCACATAATTCAATTATTTTTAAGTAAGATATTCGAAGTACTAATACACAGAATAGATACAAATACTATCAAATCCACTATGCTGCATTTTCTTAACTTACCTGGTTCACTAAAGACAGGCCTTTTTCATATCTGATGTCTGTGTATTTCTATGTTTTAAAAAACAAGGATATTCCCAAGAAAGAGGGGTAGAGACTTTTCATTTGAAAGTGAAGAGTTGTAAGTAGTGCTATTCTCTAAAACTGAGGACATTCAATCTGTGGATAAATTACCTCCTCACTCATAACATGCAATAACTGACACGTCCTTCTTGTATCTTAATTTCCATCCCAAGTACACACTGTTACAGCATAATCACACTAGCCACCTTATTCATTATGTAGCATTACACTAGTGGTGAGGAAGACCTGAAAGAAAGCATAATAATTGATAACACCAGTGTTTACAAATAGTAGATTTGCAGTGCAGGCTTATTAGCAAAAAGCAAAGCATGCTGTTTATATACTTCCCCAAAGTGCTTAAAGCACTTTCTGGGCAGTTTACAAGTTAATTATGCAGGCTACACATTGCCCCTCCCCCAGCAAGTTGGGTATTCCTTTTACTGACCTCGGAAGGATAGAAGGCTGAGTCAATCTTGAGCCAGCTACCTGGTAATGAGCACAGTTTTGGCTGCAGCAGTTTAACCACTGCATCATGAAGTCTTATCTATTGCCAGTCTTATCTATTGTTACATAATATTCAGTAGTCCAGTCTAAACTATCCATATTTGGAGGAAGGATGTCTAGTTATGTTTAATAAATTTAGTCTTACAAAAACCAGGCCTTCTCTTTAGGGAATCAAATGGTGGATCTTACAGTTTGTATATACGTGGAGTGGAAGTTAAGGTACTGTATAAGAAGGAAGCAATAGTGTGCCCATGTTTTGCATATGGAGTAGCAGTTGATTTGTGGTTTGAGTTTGTTTAGCTTTGTGGCCATAACTTAAATAAAAAGTTTCTGCTTTGAAAAAGGAAAGGGTTTTTCCTTTTTAGAAATAGAGCTTCAAACCCAGGGGGAATTCTCCTACAAGAGTTTTAAAAATATTTATAAAATACCCCTGCTCAGCATGTGACTAGTGCCATCCAGTTTTTATTTCAGAGGTATGCTGCTTAATGTATTCGCGAAGGCTTTCACGGCCGGGATCTAATGGTTGTTGTGGGTTTTTCGTGCTCTTTGGCTGTCCTCTGAAGATGCTGACCACAGAGACTGGTGAAACATTAGGAAGAACAACCTTCAGAACACGGCCAAAGAGCCCGAAAAACCCACAACAATCATGCTGCTTAATATTTGACTAGGCAGTGCACTTTGGAATAGTAGTGTACATTGATTACTTATCTATTGAACTTGGACCACAAAACATTTTTACTATAAAATTAAGTTTTTTATTGTGTTTCTTCTTTCAGAATACAGCAGTTGTTTGAAGAAATACTGGGTAATAGCAGGCAACTGAAATGGCTGTCATGTGGGTTTATGTTGCAAATCGTAACACCCACATCATTGTCATCTCTTTCAAACCCTATTGCCAACACCATGGAGCACCTGAGTTTACTGGACAACCACATCCCTGGTAATACCACTCTTATCACTGCAGTTGAATTGGAGCGCTTTGTCAATCTTCGCTCACTCGCCTTGGATTTCTGTGATTTTACGGCAGAAATGGCAAGAGTCTTAGCTGATAGTAACCATGTGCCTTTGCATCGACTGTCGCTTCTGGTCCACAATATTTCGGTAATGCACAAGTCCTTGGAAAACATGCCAGAAGATGAGGATTGGAAGGCACTGACGCGCAACAGCACTAATCTTCGGGTGTATATAATGGCTTTTGATATCAAGAGTGATGATATGTTAAGGATTCTTAAGCCCAGTATCCCATTGGAGAGGATTCACTTTGACAGCTACATCACTTGTGTTTCAGGAGCCGTTGTTGATCTCATATCTAGGCAGTATGATAAGTTTCTCACTCACTTCATATTGATGAATGATGTGATAGATATGTCTGGCTTCCCAGATCTCAGTGACAACCGGACCGAAGATCCCCTGGTTTTACTGGCCTGGAGGTGCACAAGGCTCTCTCTTCTGGCAATACATGGTATGCAGTTCTATAGGTGCAAATCATTGACACTTTAGAAATACACCCATTAATATTTGTGTGGATATACATTTAATATCTCAACCCAAGTATTTATCCCCAAAGGGAAAAATCCAGTGGATAGGGCAGGGGAAAGAGTATTCTATCTAGTCTCAGATATGTTACACGCTGAGCATATGAATATTTGACTACGGTGAGAAAACTACTGTTACAATTAGAATCCATGACTGACAGTTTAAAAAAATTATTCTAATTGGAAGAAGGGAATATTAGTTCTTTTTTGTTTGGATTAATCTAAAACTCTAATAGAGTCTACCTTCCATTCTGTTCACCCTCTATATGACAGAAGAAAATATTTCCTTGCATTTACCCAGAAATGTTTGGGAGGGGAAAGACAACCCAACAAAAACAAATGGCAACCTCTTGTTTGTATACCATATGTACAGGTTTTTTAGAAACTGAGTAGGTAAGCTGACCAATAGCAGGAGAGGCTTATTAAAAGAAATTCTTGGGTGAAATTGTTAGAGAGAAAGAAGGGATAATGAGGCCTTTGCTATTGGGCTATTATATGTTAAACAAATTTTGGATAGGGAGGAAACAAAGATGAAATCTGGTCTGTTGAATTTATAATGGCTGGTTTCTGTGTTTCAGGTTATACTGTTTGGGCTCACAACCTGATTGCAATTGCTCGTCTTCGTGGCTCTGATTTGAAAGTGCTTGAAGTCACAGAAGAAAGCATTGATTTTGACCAAGGTGAACTCGCTGATCAGGATGTGGATCCAGTACACAATCTCATTGAGCAGGTATCCCTTGGATTGGGTCGACCTTGGCATGCAGTCATGGACATAGAATTACTCAGTGTCTTTACTGAGCCAACTCGTCATTTTTACAGAGAAATGCAAAGCTTCAGTGAAGGCATTTAGCTCTCTTTATTTACAGTTCCTGTGGTTACATATGCAAGTAGGGTCCTATTATGTTTTTCAGTAGTGTGAATTAACCCCTCTTGTGCTGTGTTTAATCAGTATTAGCTATATAGAATTATATATGTATATTCTACTTCTTGATCAAAGAACGTAGTCGGGTATTGGTTTAGAAGCTGAAAGTGGCAATGTTTAGGGCTTTCACGGTTAATGGACTTGTCTACAAAAACAAACAAAACTCAGATGTGGCCGAAGGTTGTCTGAGGTTGCCGGCTAACTTTCTTCTTTTGTTTTGAGTAACTCTGCAACTTCACTGATTTTACTATTGTCGGAGTTTTTGTGCTCAGGAGCCAAAAATCTTTTTCTTATCCATAGCCCAGTGGTTTTGAATGTAGTCATTGTCATGTAAACTGGTAGCATGCTACTTAAGCTTCCTTAAGAAATCAGGACTATCAATACCATTTACTGTATATCTTTGCTTTGATTTCATGTACAATATCTGAAGCATGAAATACTGCCACTTTGCAATCTCCTCTTTGAATATGAATCAGTAGTCTCTTGCACTGTGTAGCTCCTTCAGATGTTTACCTGACTCTGAAAGCTATAAGTTGTAGCTTCATTGTAGATGTATTATAGATTCTTTTTCTTGTGGTCTGTCAGCTTCTCTGTACAAGTTAGCTTTGGGCCCAGATTTAAAAAAAAGTTAAGTCTATACACTCCGATGGGGTAAAACCGTAACAATTTAGATATAAATTTATAAGTCAACTTTGCTTGCAAACAAACATTAGTCGTGAAATCCCTAGCAACTAAGTCACTGGATTTTCTCTGTCAGCGCCTGTGTCAGCTGCCAAAGAATAGATTAAAATAAAGAAGTGCCCACATGCTGGCAGGGGCCGGCCAATTTTTGGTCAGCCAGATACTGCTAGATTGTAATATATAAGGTCGAATTTCGACCTGTGGTACACAGCTGTGCTGTGGCTCAGTCAGCAACCTCAGAACTCTTAAACATGCACCTGTTTCACTGTGAATAGTGAATGTAAAGGAAGGAAAAGCAAAACAGATACAAACCTTGTCCTATCACAGGTATGAGCTGCTATGATGCATGAAGAACATTCCATGAAGTATGTTTTAAAATCTTGTTATATCTGAGAGGCTTTAAAAGCCGATTTAAACTGTTTCAGGGCAACCGCGGTACAGACGTGGTCTCTGTGAGACTTCCACCTGACCAAGTTTTAAGTGGTACGAATGTTGTGCATTTAATGTTAAAGGACAGTCTGCAATAATAAAGTAAGTGGCCAACGTGGGTGCCCAGCAGTGCTGAGACCTGGCTGCCATATTGTAAGCTTTGGAAAACACAATTTATGCAACAGATGTCCAGATATGATTCTATTTATGGAAAAGTTTATATGTGTTTTACAAATGGTTTTACCATCTTATATTAAAATGACCTTTTGACAGGTGTGCGCTGTTTTGTCTCCAGTGAGCACATACCATGCGGATTTTATATGTACATCAGTAGAGTGAATCCACTGGCACAGTGTGTGTAAATGCCAGATGTGGTGAGATTTTATCTTATGTGATCAGACTAAAGTATACTCCTGACAGAAAATGTAAGGAAACCAGCTGAGTGTTTGACTTGATGACTGATGTTGTATGGTTTATGTTAAATGTATATTCTTTTAATCAATGAATAAAGCATTAAAATTGAGCATTGCAAAATATTTTATTATGTCAGCATGCTAGATTTAACATCAGACAAATCACACTTTCTGTTGGAAACTATTTCCCATTTTTCAAGCCCAAAAAACTTGAATATCAGTTAAAAAAATTTTTTGGTCTGTTTCATGAGCATTTTAGGAAAATAAGTTCAGCAAAAAACAGACCAATTAGAGTAATTTGACATGGTATACTTTAACTGGCAAAGTATAGTACAAAGAAAGCTAGTTCCTCTCACAAGTGCTTATATTAAAATCAGATTGTGTTTTAAAAACTATGTAATGTCTGTATCTGTGTTGTACTGTTAAGCAGACCATTAACATATTTTAAGCTTTTTGAGTTTTATGTTCTGACAAATTTTGTACTGCACTTTTGGGATGACATGATTCAGAGTAAAATAGCAGCTTATTCTTGCATATAAGCAACATTTTCTCTTTCCCTACACTGAACACAACATTAGTCCAGCAAATTAAAACTTGTATATGCTGCTGAAGTTAGAACAACATTGCATGCTTATCTGACCCATCAGTACTGCTCATGCTTCAAACTAAGATCTAACCAGGGGGCCCTTTTGAAAGAGCCGTTCCTCAAGGAGATAAGAGGGAGGGCTTGTAGAGAAAGGGCCTTTTTGGCAGCTGCCCCCAGACTATGGAATGCCCTCCCGACTGAGATTTGTCTGGCACCGACGCTGATGACATTTCAGCACCGGGTCAAAACCTTCCTGCTCCAAAAGGCTTTTAATTGAATAATATCAGCTGTGGGTCTCATGGCAATTTTTAGAGTATATATTTTTAATTGCATTTTAATTATTTTGCCCTTTTATTTTGCCTTTTTATTGTATTTTATTTATTTTATTTATTTATTTTATTTATATCCCGCCTATCTGGTCGTGTTAGGACCACTCTAGGCGGCTAACATCAAAAAGAATAATACAATAATATACATATAAAACCAATTTAGATAACAAAAGATACTAAACATAATAGAGCTATAGAGGAAGGGAAAAGTCGTCAGGGATTATCTGTTGGGAAGGCCTGCCTAAACATCCATGTTTTTAATTGTTTCTTTAAAATACCCAATGAGGGAGCCGCGCGAATCTCAGGAGGTAGGTTGTTCCAGAGACGAGGAGCCACCGCTGAGAAGGCCGGATTTCTAGTCTTTTCCTTTCAGGCCTCCCTCGGCGTTAGGCTCCTCAGCCTCATCTCCTGGCTCGCGCGAGTGACACGGGTAGATCTTGGTGGGAGAAGGCGTTCCGCCAAGTATCGAGGTCCTAAACTGTTTAGGGCTTTGTACGTGAGCATCAACACTTTGAAGTCGATGCGGAATCGGATGGGCAGCCAATGCAGTGCGGCCAGAGTGGGCGAAATATGTTGGTATCTTCTCACTCCACTAAGTAATCTGGCCGCCGCATTCTGCACCACCTGTAGTTTCCGCAGCAGCCTCAAAGGTAGGCCCACGTAGAGCGCATTACAGTGGCCTTGAGATTACGAGCGCATGCACCAAGGTAGTGAGCGCCCCCACATCGAGGTAGGATCGCAGCTGGGCTATCCGCCTAAGATGGAAAAATGTTGTAAGCCGCCCAGAGACCTTTGGGTAGTGTGGGCGGCATATAAGTTAAATAAACAAACTAACTAACAAAGTAACAGAACCTAATTTCCCCTGCCTATATACAGTCCCTAAATCTAAGTACCATCCAGAAAAGTGCAGAAATGTGTAGATTATAAGGTAGAACAAATTGCCTGCTTTGGGTCCTAGGCTAGGAAGAACTATAACAGTTCAGGTTCCACTGGGAGCATTTGTGACACATACTGATTACAGGATGGAAAAAAGGGAAAGCACCTACAGTATCCTGAGAGCTGCCACATCACATCGAATGTTTGTTCTAGAGTGTTTTTAATGCTGTCTTTAGATACACTAAATTTTAATGCTAATGTGTACCTCTTTAAGATTCTGCTAGTGTTGGCATATGCATTGCAAGCAAAACACTGAATGTGTTCATGCATTCAACCAAATGGAAAGCCATACACTTTTTTCATTGCTGTTTTACCATTTTGACCAAATCAGATCTGTTCTGAATAATATAGCCAATGTTGCATGGATTTCCCCATTGGGTACGCTGGAAAACAAACTTGAAAACACACTCAGGTATAGTGTTGAATCAGTGCTGTTTTTCAGACAACCATCACTGTTCAGCACCCTCTCCTATAAAATTATCTACTTATCGCAAATGGCACATCAGAGATTTGCAAATTATTTTATTGTGTCAACTTCATGTACCAACAGTTTTTTTAAAAAGCAAATGGCATTGGAACTTAACAGTGGAATAGTCCAAATGCAATGCAAAAATTCTAGAGAAACAAGACCAAAACAACTTGTTACCTGTTGGAAGTAGCCAGCACTCTGAGGGATCTACTTCAGGAAAGATTTAGCTTCTCCACTGATGAAACTCAATTTATTCCCAAGTTTAGTGTCCTTTAAGAGGATCAAAATTGGTTGGACTATCTCCACTTATATGTTTGTTTGTAGCTAATGAGGCACAATCTGGCTTAAAATAATTATTATGACCAAAGTACTGCACATGATTAACTTTTGCTCGATTCTGTTTAGCATGTTAGAATTCCGTTGTGGTGGGTGGTGTACTTATTAATCATCATCATCATCTTAGAACTGCGGAACTGGAAAGAATTAAACTTCAGTTTGCATTTCTGGACAAAGCTCTTGCAAACTGTATTAACATGATTTTTTAAAAAAGTCTTTATCAGTTTAGATACTTATAAAAATTTAAAACATGGGGTCAAATCCTATTAATGAAACACAGGCTTGCACTTAATGTGAGCCAGAAATCTCCCTGTTCAAAGTAACAGGTTAATAAGTATTATTCAAAAAAATGTTGGGTGGTGGCCACAGTGCACACAACAGGCCTTGTGTGTATGGTAAAAGGAAGACTCTCCCCATAATAAAGTGAACACAAAGTAAAACTTGCAACAGCGCAAAATGGAGCCTATCAAACTTGAACAGAATAGAGCCTTTAAAAAGAAATTTTGTCAATTGACTTAAAAGCTGATACTCTTTGGAGACAGCATTCGAAAGGGGCGAGGCTAGCATTGACACGACTGTATCTACCCTGCCAGCAAGATGCCTGAAACTGATTCTCAAGGCCTGTGCAGACTCAGCAAGGATGTATACAGTCCTTCAAATAATCTGGTTCTAAACTGCTCAGGTCAAGGGTGGGTAAAAGATTGCCCTTCACAGGTTACTGCACAACAGTTTCCACTATTCCTCACCATTGTCTGTGCTGGTTAGGGCTAACGGGATAGGCTGTTAACAGCTGGAGGCTGGATACTAATCCACTGTGTTTTACAGCTTTAAAATTTAGACAAAGTGTTAAGTGTATAAAAACAAGCAGGCAATCAAAGCAGCCAGAACAGTGTTAGTGCAATATGTTCCAAACACTTATTCCCCTCCCAAAAGGATTTTGGGAAGCTATCTTAAACTCAGAGCAGGCCTTGGTCCATCTGTTATTGACTGGCTCTGTTTTTCTAGTGTTTGGAGCAAATTTTTAAAAAGATTCTAAACTGTCTTTAAAGGTAGCCCTAGAATACAAGTTTTTACATCAGGCTGTTAATCTAGATCCCATTAGATCTTTACTACCTATTGCCTTGGTGTTTTAACTTTAAGAGACTAGGTTGGATTCCACAGTAATTTAAGAAAGCAGAGATACTTAATTTGGATTAGCAGAACTAATTTCCCATACCTCTTCCTTCACATGCCCCATCCTTATGGGTTTAGATGGCTGCAGAATAAGAGGAGAGGAAACTCCTTCCCTGAATGCCTCTAGGATGATGCAAAAGGTTATATGTACAGTAAATGTATTGTGATGTTCAAACAAGAGTGTGTCGGTATGAAAGAAGTAGTTATGGTTAAGCCCATATGAAAAAACCACCCTCACAAACAAATTCAGATCACAGATAGATTAGCCCTTCTACTCAACCAAGACATTTTGATTCTACCGTTTTGTATATCAACTCCCACCCCAAGTAAAAACAACATAACTCCACTATCCATTCCACTCTATGCGTAAAACATCATTAGTTGCATAGGAAAACTGAAAGTCTCTTCACACTCTTGTCATTACTATAATTCTTCTCTGGCGTATCTTGTAATTCCTTTTGCCTGTTCCTCATCTTTCAATTCAAGGTATTTCACAAGTTTGCATGCAGCCCCAAACCTCACCATCAGCATTTGTTTCAGTAACAACATTGCAAAACCAGGGAGTGAATTAAGGCCAGCATTCCCAGAGTCAGCAAGATAAAATCTCAGTCTCTTGAAGGTCACTTGTTAAATTTTACAGCTGAGAATTAGATATGCGGATTCTTCCTCTACAGTCAGCAATGAACGAATGATATAAGAGATGGCCCTCTAGCAACAAGGCACAAGAATATTATGTCCAGCTTGTTCTTCCAGTCTAAACAAATTCTGTATTAGCAATAGCACTATAAGTAGAAAAATTCAAATGCATAGGGTATGTCAAAAGTGCAGAATTCTAGACATGCTACTGGATTCATTTTGTATCCTTTTTGTCTAATGGCTGATACTGTATAGCAGTGGTTCTTAACCTTTTTGAAAGAAACGCCCCATTGAGCCATTGAGGAAGTTATCATTGCCCCCCTCCCTGAGGTGATATCTTACCTACCTACCTACCTACCTACCTACCTACCTACCTACCTACCTAGTCTCCCTCCCCACCCGGGTGCGAGGCAGCGCTTCACGGGGCGAGGATGAGGACACAAGAGACCCTTTCCTTCCACCCGATCCACACTCAGTGCTCCCCTAAAGGAGAAAGGCGAGACGTGGCAGGTAGAAAGAGCTGGATCATCTGGTGGCAGCAGCAGCACCAGATCTACTGCCAGCACTGCGGTTGCAGTCGCCTTCACAGGTTTGGCTCACTCCAGCGCCCCCCTACCGCCCCCTTCTGTTCTTTCGCCCCCACACCGCCCCTTTTCGTTCTACCGCCCCCCTGAAAAATGAAATCGCCCCCTGGGGGGCATTATTGCCCACGTTAAGAA